GACCGATTTGGCCCACGGGCCTTGTGTTTGACACATGTGATCTAGAAATAAGATATATATATTCTTATGGGTAGAAGGCTCATTCTAATCTTAATTCTACTGATAGATATGTATATACAGACAGTCTTTGGGTTATGTCGGACTCGACATACATCGTTCCATGGTTACATCGCCATCTCCCATTTATTAAAAAAAAAAGTTCCGTTATTTCGACATATGTGCTTTATGTTTTTTATTATTTATTTACCACAAGTAAAGGTCAGGAATTATCTTCCTTTTAAATTATTTTACTGTTACACTTCATTACTGCTGTGTATGTGCTCTATGTGAGTGACATAGGTGCTTATATAGGTGGGTTCCGAATTACAGTGAAAATTGCATTATGTCACGCCTAGGAATGGACCTCCAATGTAACCCAAGGGCCTACTGTAAGGGAAAATCGGTGGGAATTTTTTCAGTATGGGGAAGAATAAAATCTTAAAATTAAACTCACGGCAGATGAAATGTCTTATATTTAGGGAGGATGTACTGACAGCTAACACTATTTCTTTATGTTTCGTTCAGGAAGAGGTCTTTCAGACGGCCATCTTAGTAGAGGAAAGAAGGCGTGGATTGCTTTTTATTCTGTCCTAGAGGCCTGGTGCATGACAACGCCCCTAGTGCACTGGGGGGTGGGTCCATAAGCCTAGCGTGCACCCTTTCGCAGCCGGGGAGCCCTTGGGGATGTCCAACTGACAGTTTAGGTCTGCAATTGGACATCCTTAGTGCTGCCACAGAGGCAGCTACTGCATTTGCCAGCCATCATCGTGGCTTGTGGCTGAGCAGTGCTCCTCCTATGGGAGCACAGGGGGCAGCTCCTGCATTGAGCTGGTGGTCAGTGCACGTGATAGCGACAGGTCATTCTGCTGTTCAGTCGATTTGCATATTACCCTTTTATTATATAGAATGCGCAAAGTCGCTAATCATCTCAGATACAAATCAAAACAACAATGAGATACCATCTCACACCTGTCAGAATGGCTATCATCAACAAACAACAAATGCTGGCAAGGATAGGGAGAAAAAGGAACCCTCATGCACTGCTGGTGGAAATTCAGCCACTGTGGAAAACAGTATGGTGTTTCCTCAAAAATAAAAAATGGAACTTCCATTTGACCCAGTAATCCCACTTCTAGGAATATATCCCAAGAAAACAGAAACACCAATCAGAAAGGATATATGTATCCCCATGTTAATAGTAGCACAATTTACAATAGCTAAGATTTGGAAACAGCCTAAGTGCCCACCAGCAGATGAGTGGATTAGAAAACTGTGGTGCATCAACACGATGGAATACTACACTGCTGTAAAAAAGAAGGAATTCTTATTATTTGCAATAGCATGGATGGAACTGAAGAGCTTTACACTAAGTGAAATAAGCCAAAGAAAGATAAATATCACATAATCTCACTCATTTGTGGAATATAATGAACATAAACTGATGAACAAAAACAGAACCAGAGTCACAGAAGCACTGAATAAACTGTCCAAACTATGAGGGAAGGCTGTGGGTGAGGGGATAAGAGGTCAAACAAAGGACTTTTATGCATGCATATGAGCATAAGCAATGGACACTTTCTATAATTGAAACTTTGTAGCCTTAAGTGGAGGCCTGGGCCAGCCAAGGTGTGTGGAAAGCTTGGCTTCCTCCATTGCCAGGGAAACCCAAGCCTCCTGCTCGCTCTGTGGCCACAGCTACCTTGGTTGGGTTAATTTGCATACTCACTCCTGATTGGCTAGTGGATGTGGCTTGTGGGTGTGGTTTAGTGGTGGTTAATTTGCATGTTATTATTTTATTAGATAGGATAGTTATTTTTATTACCATCACAGAAATTATACCTTCCCTCCATATCCTCTGTAAAACATACACTGGTCATATTGCCTGATGGCTTTGGTTACTTCTAGGTTGAGAACACCAGACTGTTGTTTTCTAGTACATCTGATTCCTGTTCCAATTAGTGAAAGTACTAGGTATGTCATGAGTCAATTGTATTACTCAAACCTGTTTATGCCAGCTGAGCTTTTTATTGTAATCACATCATTTAATTAGATTTTATATACACTGAGTGTAAAAAGAAAGCTGTTTTATTGAAAACTAAACTGAATGCTTCAAAAGGCTTGATAAAAGGGAAATACCAAAAAAGTTTCTAATTAACCATGAATAAGGTAGATCAGAAGAAAAAAACATACTAAAGAAATTCTGAACTCAAATTTACTTCACAAAAGTGTTTTAAAGAAAATGACAGGCAAATCAGGCTATGGTAATTTATGCATGTAAGTTAACATGAAACTCCAGCAACAAAATCAGAATATTCATTTATACATTCAATCCAAAAGTACATATTGAACATCTACCTGTCATGTGCCAATTGTTGTTCCTAGGACAGCAGTTCTCAATCTTTTTGGCCGTAGGACCCTTTATATTAAAAACTAGAGGCCCGGTGCATGAATTCATGCATGGGTAGGATCCCTCAGTCTGGCCAATGATCAGGGCCAAAAGGGGCCGGCCAGCCAGGGGGAGAGACCACGGGAGGTTGGCCAGTGGTGGGAGGTTTGCTGTAGGAGGCACTGACCACCAGGGGGCAGCTCTTACATTGAGTGAATGCCCCCTTGTGGTCAGTGCATGTCATAGCAACTGGGTGATGTTTGCTTAGGCTTTTTTATATATAGATTATTGAGTAACCCCAATGAGCTTTGTCTTACAGGTAATATTTATCAACATGTAGGTGAAAAATTAAAAGCTAAAAAAGTTTACAACATAAGAATACACCAGCACACATTCCATTAGCCATCATAGCACTAATGCGTTCACTTATCACAAAGCTACAGGAAAACAAGACTGTACACATGAGAGAATGACAGTAACAAAGTTAAATGTCTTACTACTGTTATTATTAAAATAGTTCTGACTTCACAGACACCTGGAGTCTCAGGAAACCCTGTGTCCCTGGACCAACTATGAGAACCAGTTATAGAGCTTAGGAATCAATAATGAATCAATACCACTCTTGTGTAATTTAATGAAGAAGTACAACAATAAAGAAGTAAATGAATAAATATATAAATTCAGATAGTCATAAATGCCATAAAAAAAAAAAAGAAAAGAAACCCAAACAAAACAGGACAAGGTGGTAAAAGTGAAAAGTGGGAGGTGTGGGGAAGCAGTAGGGCAATTACTTTACATGGGATGGTCAGAAAAGGCTTCTCTGAGGAGGGATATTGCAGGGGACAATGATCTGTAAACTACTCAAGTAATCTAGGCAAAGTGAATGGTGGTATGGCAGTGGGATAACAGTGTCTCCCAAAGTGTGGTATCCGTACCCCCAGGGGTACGGGAAGAGTTTGGTGGGGCTACGCAGGCTGAGGCTCTCTATCCACTGAGCCAAACCGGTTAGGGCTCGTCCTGCTTCTTTTCCACCTGCACACCCCACCCAGAGACATTTTTCAAACTTAAGTCAGATCATGTTACTTCTCTGCTCATAATTCTGCCATTATTCCCACTTTCCTCTTTGAGTACAAGTCCAAATCTTGACAGCTACCTATAAAGCTCTACTCAATATGGCCCTGTTACATCTCTGACCTCATCTACTTTTCCTCTCACCTCTTCTGCTTCAGTCACATTGGCTTCTTCTGCTATTTGTTCCGAAGGTTAAGGACATTTGCATCTCAGGGACCTTGCTCCTGGAATGCATCTTCCCTAGACAGCTGCAGTCCATATTTACTTCATTACCTGTTCACCTGCCACCTTCTCTGAGTTTTTTCCCAATCATCACATTTAAAATTGCAACTCCAATCCCAACTTCTTATATTCTTTATCCCCTTCTCTGCTCTATATTTCTCCACAGCATTTCTCCACCACCAAATACTCTGTCTTACTTTCTGAAGCATACGTTCAAAAACGACAGGAATTTTTTGTCTGTTTTATTCACTGCTATATCCCTGGTGTTTAAAGCAGTGGTGATCACTCTGTTCATTGAACACTTTCTTTAAAAAAATAAATTAAATTAAATTAAAAAAATATCTATATATATCTATATATATCTATATCTATATATATATAGATATATATATATGTCTTTATTGGTTTCAGAGAGAGAGAAGGAGAGAGATAGAAACATCAATGATGTGAGAGGATCACTGATCGGATGCCTCCTGCACACCTCCTACTGGGGATCAGGCCTCAATACAGGCATGTGCCTTTGGCCAGAATCGAACCCGGGACCCTTCAGTCCTCAGGCTGATGCTCTATCCACAGAGCCAAACCGGCTAGGGCCGAACAAGCACCTCGCCTAGTATTTCAGGGAAGATCATCAAGCGTCTCTAAGATTTCCTCCAACCCTCTCTGATCCCTAGAAGGATCACACTTTGCCTAGAAACAAAAACCGTGCTGTACGGCCCACCACCAGGGGGAGCTCGAGAGGCAGAGCTGAGCAAAGAGAAACCAGATGTGATTTCCCGTGTTTTTCCTCCATCCGCCTCAAGGTGGAAGAACACTGGGCTTGGACTGAATGAATAATTTTCTCCGCGCTGTGAATTAGCCGTCAGCGTTAAAAACCGCCATCCTTTCGCATGCCACCAAGAGGCCAAAGAAACCAACCCGCGGGCCGCTGAGAAATGGGCGGCTGTTTCCTCAACCCTAACACTAAGAAGTCCCCATAAATCTGGGGGAAGAGTTCCCATGAGCGCCCAGCGACATGCAATTCACACTCCGGGAGGCCAGGGTGGCCCGGGAGGCCGGCAGGCACCCTCGGACCGGAGAACTATTCGGTCCGTTCTGGTCCAGATTCGAAGCAGCTACCATTCTTCAACCGGCGTTTAAAGCAAGGCGGTCGGTCCCGGGTGGAAGGGCTCCGATCTGTCAAGTCCCGATTCATGAAAACTCCGAGAACAATGTGTCTTTCCCCTCAAACCCCCCCCCCCCCCGCAACACACACACACACACACCCGAGATTCGGACTCACCGCCACCTGTTGATGCCCACGTTGGAGGAGCCCGCGAACCAGGGGTCGAGGATGTAGACGCAGCGGATGGTGTCGGCGCCCCGAATGCACTCCTTCAGGGCGGGGTTGTCGTGCAGCCGGAGCCCCTTTCGGAACCAGTGCACCGCGTTCACCCCCATGCCGGGCGCGCGGCGGGCGGCGGGCCACCACCGCCGAGCTCCTCCGCCGGGAAATTCAAGAAGGCACGAGGGTCCGGCTCATCCCCGACACCGCCGCTTCCAGGAGAATCGCCGCACCCCGGGAAGAAGGACAGGGCGGCGGCGGAGGGGGGTCAGGGAAAGACGAGTCTGAGGAGCCGACCCGAGAGGGAGAGGGCGCTGGAGGCGCAGCTGGGCGCCGGAGGGCGGCTGCCCGGGCGGCAGCGGAGTCCCCGTGTGACGCCCTTTAGGAGCCGGCACCCGCCACCACCGCCGGGAGGACACGCATAACTTCGAGGGCCGCCGACCCCCGGAGGGTGAGCGGGTTCCGGGGGGAGCTCGAGCCGCCACGACAGCCCGAGCCGGTCCCCGGAGCCCCAGGAGGCTCGTCACGGAAACCTCGCCCCACCGAGGCGGGTCCCCTGAGGGAAAGCGGGCCCGCCGGAGGCAAGCCACCGACGAGGAGGAGGAGGAGGAGGGGCGAGGACTCAGCCCCTGCCGGCCACGCTGCCTTTCACTCAGCCCGGGAGCGAGGACGGAACACGGAGGCGCGACGGGTTGGTTGAGGCCGCGGGATGATTGCCGCCGCCGCCGCCGCCGCCAGTGACCGGTGTCGAGCCGGCCCGGGTGACTCCGCCGCCAGCGCCGCCGCGTCAGCGGCCCCGGCCCCGCCCCCGGCTCCTGACTGGAAGGCCCGCCGCCCACGTGACCACCGGCACCTCACGTTTCTGAAGTGTGTTTACTACCGCGGCGCGCGGGCTGCGGCGTGTGCTCGCGCTTCGGTCGCTTCTAGGGGGCGGCAGCCATTCGATCTCAACACTGCGGCCCTCGCCTAGAGTTCGGGCTCTCGGCCTCCGTCCCTTTTCCAGGCGGACCGGTCGCGGGGGCCTGGGAGGGCCGCGGGGGCTCACAGGCCCCACGTGAGGGAAGGCTTAGCTCCGCCCCCCGGTGGCCGTGAGCCTCCCCCATTGGCTGAGGCTCGCTGAGACCCGGATGAGCACGGGGATGCGGGCAGCTCGCGGGCGCGCGCGCTCTGCCGGGGAAGGAAGGTGCGCGTGCGCTCTCGCCTCTCGCCGCGTTCCTGGGGAGATTAGGGCGGAGCCACCGGCGGGCGCACTAGGGCGCTCCCGCGGGTTGGGGCGGGGGAGAGAAACCCTCGAAGGCCCGGAGGCTGCTTTGTTCCCTCTGAGAGTCTTGCGAGGGGACCCTGGGGTAGGGGAAGATGGGGTGGATGGAGGAGAGTAGGACGGAGGAGGCTCCACGTCGACTTTGATGCCAAACTGCGCGCATCAACCCAGCTTTGTGCATAGAACCTTAACTTTGGAGTGTGCAGCGCCATTCCAAAGGTGCTGTGACCCTTGAACTTGCTCCGGGGATGTGGAGTAATTGGTCGCGGGGCGGGTGCCAAGCATTCCTGGACTTCTTGTAATTCCCTAATACTAGCGAATATCAGCAGTATGTGAGCCCTAGGTCTCTTACATTTAGGGCGGCTGTTGCCCACCTTGCCGAGGGCATTGAACTGTGATCCATGCCATTTCTTATTCATGTGATGTACTTATAGTCATTCAGTAAGTACTGAATGAACCAGGCACTGCTCCAAGTGCTGGAGATCCAGGAGAGAAGAAAATGGGCTAACACCCCAGTTTACAATCTGGATCTCTGAAACCTTTACTCTTTGCTAATTTTTCCCCCTCCCTCTATAAAATCTTTGTTCGCATCTGCTGCTCACTAACAACCTAATGAAAGATGAAACAGAGGGCCGGAGACCAGAATGACAGGACACAGGCTTTATTGGAGGAGAAGACCCCTGCCCGGCTGCCTTCCAGAGGGGAAAGAGCACACGTGCTGGGGGTGAACGCCTTTTGAGGGGAGGAAAAGGAAGGAACAGGGCTTAGGGCACTTAGCACACACTGATTGGTGGTTTCATGTAAGTCACATGATTAGGGATTTAGGAATGGGGGGGGGGGGGGGGGCCTAGGGTATTGTCCGGTGCTGATTGGTGGTTCAATGTACAGTCCATATAAGGTGCTTGTTAGATGCTCAGGAATGTCTATGCTGCAGGTACAGGTTATGTCATACTCCGACCATCAGTTGGGGGAAGGGAGGATCTATCACGTAGTATATTTCTACACATTCCCTTAGACTCAGAATGCAGTGCAATCTAATCTGTAAAAATAGTCCTGCTCCCTCCCCCCCCAAATTTTTTGATAAGCACTTACTACACTCTGGATTATATTGAGAAGACAAAAGTGCCTACTTCAATACTAGTGCAAATAGGTGCTCAGTAATTGGACTTACTACTCTAGTAATGTGTCTCTGACTCTAAAGTATGACTTGTTAAGGACCATGGCCCCACCCAGTTCTTTGTTCTTTTTTTGCATCAATACCCACCAAGTACAGAATCTGATACATAAGCATCAAATGTTGATTGAATGACTGAGTTAATGAATGCTGTTGGCCACCAGAGTCTGGCAAGGTTAGGAGGAAGAAGGATATGGCAATTGTTACTGCCTGAACTGTGTGCTTTCAATTAATAGAAACCTGTGAGTGTGACCTTATTTGAAAACTAGAGGCCCAGTGCATGGAATTCATACATGAGGGAGGGTCCCCTCAGCCTGGCCTGCACCCTCTCCAATCCCGGACTCCTCAGGGGATGTCTAACTGCCTATCCCAATCTGGTATCACTAGCTCCTAACCCCTCTGCCTGCCTGCCTGATCGCCCCTAATCGCCTCTGCCTCACCCCACACCCTGGAACCAGGATTTCCTCCTTCTGGCTGCCTGCAGACAGCCAGGACCCGGGCAGCCTCAGAGGACCGTGGGTGGGTGGTTTTGCTTGGGCTGCAGCCACAGGCACCCGGGACCATGGGGTGAGTGGCTTGTCCCTCTCCTGGGCCACAGCCTGGCTGGTCCCCATTCCTCTCTCGAGCCCATTTGTGCATGGCTGGTCCTCATTCATCTCTCCCCAGTGTTGAGTGTCTGATCCATTACTGCATGAGGACGTGATGACCATTTGCATATTAGCTCTTTATTATATAGGATAAGATCAAGCTAAGATGTCATTAGGATAGGCCCTAATCCAATTTGTCTGAGGTCCTTAAAAAAATGGGTAAATTTGCACACAGACACACATACAAGATAAATGCCGTGTGAAGATTAGAGTTATGCTGGGGGAGAATGGAGGTTCAGAACTAGTCACCCCAAGATGTGCCGCAGTAGTGCAGGCTCTAGAGAAACTTCTGCCTCCCACCTCCACTACCTAGAAGAATTTAAATCGGGAACCTGACCTATGAAAAGAATTATCACCAGAAATAAGGTTTTTTGTTTTTTTTAATCTTATTTATTTATTCATTTAAATTTCTTTATTGGTATCACATATTTTCCTCAACTCCCCATTCCAGTCCCCCACCCCTCCCATTGTCCTTGGCCACTCATGCCCCCACTCCCTTATTGTCCTTGACCACTGGTTAGGCTCATATATATGCACACAAGTCCTTTGGTTGATCTCTCCCTTTTATCCCCACCCTCCCTCTGAGGTCCAACAGTCTGATAGAAATAAGTTTTTAAGTATCTATATAGTAGGGCAAACTAGTAAATCACTGAACATGTGCTTTCCTCCCTGCAGTGATCTCCTGAAGCCCCACAGTGCATTACCTCACCCCAATTCAGAATGTCTTACATATCCATGTTCCCTTTCTGTCTCTGAACCTCCTTCCTGTGTATGTGGGATCTCTGTCCCATGTATATGGGGTTCCCCTACATATGCATGTATGAAATTTAGTTACTTTCCCTTGAAATTCTGTCTTAGGCCTATTTGAGGATAGAGCAGTGGTCGGCAAACCGTGGCTCGAGAGCCATATGCAGATCTTTGGCCTCTTGAGTGTTCTAAATGCCACTTTTTCAAAATAGACTCACCCAGGCTGAAAACCGACTTCTGCGCATGGGCCACAAAGTTTCAAGCGCATTGTACATGCGCTCCCACACGTGGTATTTTGTGGAAGAGCCACACTCAAGGGGCCAAAGAGCTGCATGTGGCTTGCCAGCCACGGTTTGCTGACCACTGAGTAAAGTATTTTCCTCCCCCACAACTGCAACAAGGCAAGGAACTATGTACTCCCTGTGAGGCCATAAATGCCTGTTGTTCTAAGCTACTTCGTTACTAGCAAATTAATAACAGTAACATAAATTCAGTCATCTAGTGAGCCAGAGTGTCTGGAAAGTATCCCCTACCCCTGCTTTTGTTGCCACCCAGAGGACATAGCATTCTTCCCTTGGTTTCTTAAGAGCATTTAAAATTATATGTGAAAACTCTTTGTTCACTAGAAAGTTATTTTTAGCTTTGGGTAATTACCGTTCTGACGGGTCCATGACCTACGCAGAGGATGTTGCCTACAGAGCCGTGCCCTCGCTTGGATTGCCTCCTACTCCAGGGCCTTTCGTACTTTTAAAAACACAGTGTTTCTCGCTTCATTTTAGGCAGTTTAAAAGTAAGCAGATTGTGTCTAAAGGCATTAAGAATTGTTTTCAAGCATCCAAAGGAGACCGTGGGAGTAGAGGAAGAGAATATTGATTTGTGTAGAGTTGACTTATGATGTTCATTCAATGAAGATGGATTTTTTTTAACAGACAGCTGTATGTGGGTGGGTGTGTAACTTTCAACTACACATCTAAGTACTAATTATAAAAGTGTCAGTATTGTTAACTGCACTTCTTAAAGACTGAAGAATTTTTATGGCATATAAACAGTTACTTTAACATATCTTTATTATATACTAGAGGCCTGGTGCACAAAATTCATGCATTGGAGGGGTGGGGTTTTCCCTCAGCCTGGCAGTCAGATATCCCTCTTGCAATCCGGGATGCCACATGCACCAGTGACCATACTTTTCATACAGGTGAAAGGCATCTTGCTGTTGTATGGGCAGCTACATTTTTTTGCCCTGATCATAAAAAGTAGTACATAACATGATCCTTATGATGCAAT